ACTACCCAGTAATCCATTCAAATGGTTTAAGCCACAGATTGGGTTATGGCTCTCATAAGCTAATCATTTCACTTCCCATATTAGCACAGGAGCTTTTGGGGGATACCTCATATTCAAACCATAAAGTAGGCATTATCCAATCAGCTAAAGGCCTGATTAGAACAAAACCCCTCACCTGAGAAAGAAAAAAATTCTTCCTGCCTGAATGCCTTTGAACTGAAATACTGGCTTACTGGCTCTTCCTGGGTCTTAAGCCACCCTTTCAGCCTGCAGATGGGAACTGCACCATATGCTCTCCTGGTGCTCAGGGCTTTGTATTTGTACTGAAACTAAACTATCAGCTTTCCTATATCTCCAGGTTTCTGACTTACCATGAAGATCTTAGGACTTGTATGTTTCCATAATTGCATGATTAGAATCACATTTATAATCCTTATAATAAATCTTTTTACAATTACACACACAGAGAACATTCTTTATCTGGAGAACACTAATACAGGTATATATTAATGAACCACACACATGAAAATCCCTGCCCTAGCAGAGTTTAAAACCTGTCAGAAGTCAAGTGGTAAATGATAAACAAAATGAATAAATTATATAGTAGTTTCACAGGTAATAAACACTTTTTAAAAATCAAAACAATGTAATATGAGAATCAGGAAGGCAAGTTGCAGTTTCTAAAAATACTTCAGGACTTTCATAAATTATTCTCTAAACAACTGAATTCTTACCTTTATTTTACTTTTTAACCATTAATTACAAACTTTGCTGATGACTTTGACTATACGGACTTATGTGTGCCCAATCATAAAACTTTTTCTTTCCTAGAAAAATAGTTCTTGAAGGTAGTTTTCCTTTAAATCAAAATACGACCCATTTTTCTTGTTTCAAACATTTGATACTTCATAGAACTTCCATGAGTTTTCTTAGAATCATCAGTGACTGATTTATGTTACTGGCTTCATGTAGTTTTATCCTTTCTATTTTCTCTTATTAGTGCATTTGTTCACAACAAGATTTATCTTCTAGTTCTAGTTTCCCAAGCCAAAACTTGATTCCTGTCTTTCTTTTATTCCATATGTGAATCTTTAACAAATCCTGTCAGTCATTTTTCAGAATATATCAATAATAAAATCACTTCACCACCTCTACCGTTACTACCCTGGTCTGAACCACCATCTAGTTTCCCAGCCGGTCTCAATGTTTATGCACAGGCTCCCTCAAGTCTTTTATCAATAGTGTCCAGAGTGTTCATGTTAAAACAATACATTATGTCACATCTCTTTTAAAACTCTCCCAATGACTTCATAACTCAAAGTAAAAACCAATCTGCCTCCCAGCTTTTACATCATTATACCTTTGACCTTAGCTGCCACTTCTATCCTCCTTGCTCACTATTCTTTGGTCATACTGGTCTCTTGATATTCCTTCTCAACAATCCTCTTGGAACATGCAAGGCAAACCCCACATTAAGGCCTCTGTACTTGTATCTTCTGTCTGGAATCCTTTTCCCTGAGATATCTGCACAGCCTGCTTCCTTATTTCCTGAGGTCTTTACTCAGTTATCATATTCTCATTGAGGCCTTCTCTGGTCAACTTATCTAAAACCTCAAACCTCCCTCACATAACCTGGTCCTTTTATATTTTTTCTCCTTAGCATATATTATCTAACATATTACATGTATTTACTTATTTGTTTATTTTCTGCCTATCTCATATGAAAATAAATTCTAAAAGGGCAGAATGTTTTTAAAAAATGCTTTGTTTACTTCTGTCACCACAGTATTATAGTATCTAGTAAGTATTGTGACTAAATGAATAAATACACTATTTTCATTTATATTCAAGGAAGACCATGAAAAAAAATTGGACTTCTGAATCAAAAGGGTATCAGCAACAGGTCTCTCTTTCTGTATTATTCCTATCAATAACCTTAGCAACTTCTTCAGAAAGTGATGACTCTTCTACCTTGGTAAATCTTGGAGTGTAAATGTTATGGATCTTATCTCACCAAGTATTTCATATAGTGGGGCTTTGGACTTTGCTGGATCAAATGGTGCTTCAACCAGCAGAGCACATATTCAAAGTAAGTGTGCATTTCCCAAATGGGATTTCTTTATGAATCTGTGTTTTGTAAGAATTGTTTTACATTCATTTCATCTGTATGCTAAATTAACCTGAATTTACCTGTACTTTCTGTAACAATTTTTTTTAATTTTTTTACCTATTTTTTGACATGATCACATTAAGTTACCCACACTAGCCTCAAACTTGCAATCCCCGCGCCTCAGCCTCCCAAGTGATGGATTATGGATATGAGCAACCACACCAGTGGAACTTTTTCTCTTCTGGTTAGCAAAATCGGAGAGGTCTTCCCTCAGAAATGCAATCTATTCAGATCATAACTCAATAAAGGGAACCTTGAATGTCCTCCCCTTTTTAGTCCCTGTCATTCTCCAAGCAACTACTAGAGTGGGCTAGATGTCCCTGTTAATGTGGTCCTAAAGAACCTGATACTCCTCATAGTTGAGAATTGTCATTACTTCTTTACCTAACTTTTTCTTCAGCTAGAGGGCAGTGTAAAGTCTGTCTTGTGTATAACTATCTCCAGCATAGAGAAGGGGCTTGGAACATAGCAGGAGTTCAATGAATGTTTGTTGAATGAATAAGTAACAATTCCAGGTAAACTTGAGTCCTATACATTTCAAAAATAGAAAATGAATTATTTAAAAAGTTATTTTTTAAAAAAGTGATCAATGGTGTATATCACAACTCAACTATTTTCTTTGAAAAGGAAAACAGTAAGATAACAATAGTATTTAGTACTGGATAGTAGGAATACAGATGATTTTTTTCTTTCTCCTACATATCCTTATTTATCAACTTTTCCATAATGAATCTGTATTATTTTAACAGTGGGAAAACAATGTTATAAATTATAAAATAAAAAGAACCAATCTACTCCAAAATATTTTCTTTTCCTTAAAATATACAGAATATCACATATAGTAAATATAATCACCATCATTTTCCCCTCACTTTGATGGAAGTAAATAATATGAAGTCTTTACCCTTACTTAGCATTAAAACAAGTATATGTTGATAACCCAAGTTGCAAAAATCAATATCAAGGACCTGAAATGCCACCAGTGCTTTACATATTTTTTTAAATTCCGTAGAAACTATTTTTAATAAAAGCAACTTGGATCTGGTTTGATGCATAAAAACAAAATTATCAATTTTATTTAACATTTAAAAGTAAACATGGCAAAACAAGAACAATTTTTTTTGTATAAATGCACCATCAGGTTTGGATGACTGGGAGAGTCACCTTTTGCTCTGGAAGATTTGCATTCATTTCAACGGGAAAATAATGCTATGGAAGAAAAGTAAAGCAGTGTTAAAGAACTTGAATTAACTAGTACACATACATCCCACTCCATTCTTAAGGAAAATGTCTACCAAAATTCTTAAACTCTATATATTAAATGTTATAATTAACTGCTATATTTAAAGTTTTTCAGTACATCATCTTATGTTACTGTGAGACATAGAGACAAAAGAGAGCACAGCAAAAACCATTACAGAGATGATTTCTGAAAAACAAAGTTAACTTCCATGCTTCATTGAATGGCATACAGAAAATCAAGTTTTATTAGTGAAGTTATAGTGCCATATAGGTGCATGCTGTGATCTTGTACATACTGGCAAAATGCTGGTATTAATAATAATATACATATATTATTATTATATATTTACATATTGCCTTAAGTAAATAATATATATCCACATACACATATATCATACCTTCTATAAGAATTTCTTTTGTCATTTTTCTATTCATCTTATCCAAACTTTTCATTTTATAGATTTGTAATCTGGGGCCCAGAATAATTAAGGGACTTACCCCAGTTTACATTATAAATAATGGCAGAAATGAGACTAAAGCCTGAGTCTCCTTGTTAATCAAAACTCTGTACTTTGTAACTGAGACTAGGAACTAATATCCTAAATTTGAGTTGCATGCTGCAATTTTCAAAGCATTTTCTCATACATTATATTGTTTAAGTTACATAAAAATCTCATCTGACAGTTTTAAAGAATTGAAAGATTGCCTAGCAAGGTGGTGCATGCCTGTAATCTCATCGGCTCAGGAGGCTGAAGCAGGGGGAGCAGGAGTTCAAAACCAGCCTCAGCAACAGCGAGGCACTAAGCAATTCAGTGAGACCCTGTGTCTAAATAAAATAAAAAATAGGGCTGGGATGTGACTCAGTGGTTAAGCACCCCAGTACCAAAAAAAAAAAAAAAAAGAGAGAGTTGAAAAATTCAACTTAATTGCTCATGGAAATACCATTTGTTAACAACCAACTCCTGACTCACAGTCCAGTACTTTAGTCCCTCTTTTCTCACTTTATTCTTACTTGGCCCTTCACAGTTATCTGGGGAGAAGGAGACCCAGGCTAATGTTAGGGAATCTGTAAGCCTATAAAAGGGAGGCCCAAGTAATCTGCATATGATTCTGTGATCCCTCTCTCAACCTATACTGCATTTTACATGTTTTGAGAGAAGATACCTGAGACTAATAGCTAAGTTTTAAGATATGAACCCAGGTCTGTCATAATCCTGTGGTCATACTCCTTCTTCTGGATACGTGGTGATATGGTCAACATACTTTAAGGACTATGGCCATGATTGTTTAGCAAGGGTATGTATCATGGGCCTTAGAGTCAGAGCAGGCAGATTCCATTTCTTTGCTCTCTCTGAAGGACTGAAATATGCATACCAAATAATTCCCAATAATTTGGCATATCTTGTATCCACTTTCTTACCATCTAAATATCACTAGTGATAATGTCACTGCAGAAGCTGACCCTCTTGCAGCCCAAACATTTGTGGGATAAAAATGTTGGGCAAACCAAAATGATGGTAGAAATAGAAAATTCACAAGAATCAGAGATTGAGTGCTTCAACTTTATGTCCTACTATGAATTGATTACCTTTGGTCTCCTGTTCCTTCTCATCACCTTCCTCATCTTCCATTGCTGTCCCTAACATTTCAGCATCAGACTTCAGTTTGTTTCTTTGTTTCTTAAGACCTTTCAACATTCTGTTGACCTTCCTTCGTAAAGGATTGGCCCATTTGCTGTAATATGAAAAGCTCAATTAAAATCATATTTCTCAGGGGCTGGGTTGTGGCTCAGTGGCAGAGGGCTTGCCTAGCATTTGTGATGCACGTGGTTTATGTCTCTGCACCACATATAAATAAACAAAATAAAGGTCAACTAAAAAGTTAAAAAAAAACATTTCTCAACAGTGGTAGAAGAATCATAGATGGTTATAAGGAAAAGGATATTTGCCAAAATAATTCTTTACCCGTTCCCACCTGATTTTTTAACTCATTACATTTAATAAATCTGATAGGAGTAATATACTTGGCTCATTCATATTTATTGTTGTAACTATCATTATTACTCTATATACCATAATTTTGATTATTTGATCCTCCACAAGAGGAATATTATTCTGCTTCCTTCTACTGACATCAATGTTACCCACCCTTAAATACCCAGCTTAGATATTTTCTTGCCTAAGAAGCTTTCCCTTTCACTCCTAAAGAAATTCTTCCTTCCCATGACCTTCAAAACTAAATAGTAATGGCTCCTATTATATTAATATTTGTTTTTTTCAAAGCACTTTCTCTTACTATTGATGTCATTTGGTATTCAGAACCATACTCCCTTAATCATACTCCCTTGCGTTTGTGTGGCCAGAGAGTGAAAGGCCACTTGAGACTCTACTATATGCCAAGACTTTGCCTAGGTACCTTATATATTTGATCTCATTTAATCTCACAATAACTCTAGAAACTATGTAGCAAATTTCCTATTTTGCAAATGATTAAACTGGGTCTTAGAGAGGTAAGATAACTCACCCAAGGTCACACATAGCTAGTACATGGAGATACTAGGACATAATTATGTTCGTCTACAGGCTCTTTCCATAGAATCATACCGCAGTGTCATCTGACAATAGTTAAAAACAGGTAGGGTAGCTTACCTATGTGCTAAAACTTCCATGTGCATGATCTCATTTAATCCTCATAATGACTTTATGGCAGGTACTATTTATCATCCCCATTTTTCAGATGGGAAAATTAAGGTACCAGTAAGTAAAGCAATTTGCCCAAGTTAGCCAAACTACTATGGAGCTAAGAATCAAATGTAACCAAATGCAGTGGTGCAAACCTGTAATTCCAGCAGCTCTGGAGGCTGAGGCAGAAGAATTGCAAGTTCAAGGTCAGCCTCAGCAACTTAGGGAGGCCCTAAGAAACTTAGAGAGACCCTATCTCTAAATAAAATACAAAAAAAGGGCTGAGGATGTTTCTCAGTGGTTAAGCACCCCTGGGTTCAATCCCAAGTACCAAAAAATAAAATCAAATCTAGATCTGCCTAAATCTAAAATACAATTTCTCCCCCCAACCCCATGCTAACCTTTCTCTTTCTCCTCTTGGAGCTTGTTAATCTTTAGGCTGAAATCTTACCTTACGTGTTTTTATGCTTTACAGAGGAAATGTAAACATTAGACTTCTGCCAGTAAAACTTAGTTGATCATTGTTTACAGAGTTTTCACTTTCTAAGGAACTAAACATAAGCAAAGGAGAAAAAAATGGAAATGTTCATGACAGAGGTAAGGTGGGAACCCCCCCAAAAAATGATTTGCCTATAATATTATGAAGAGGTAATAAGAGATAAATAATAATCCTATCTTCAGCTCAGTGTTAAGTAGCATACAGAAAAGAATATCCAGACTCTAACAGTACTACTTAGCTATAAAAAACAACCAGGTTCTGATCACATGGAGCCTGCAGGTAGATAAGCCTGCCTTTGAAATGATGACTCTCAAGGTATTACTCACTTTTCTCCCCTAAAACTGCATTACTAGGTTGTCACTGAGCTGCATTTGATAAGAAAGATATGGAGAGAAGAAACACCTTTTTCTCAATTAATCATAAAAATGTCTCCAAACATAAATGAAATAGTGAATGAAAGCCAAAAATATATTTATATGATTTATTTGTGGCTTCTTTATGTTGCCATTTTGTTGACTATAGTCTTGAAAAATAATAACCACAGCAATGTCACAGTTCTCGGTCCTTTGAGGCCACATATATTTCAGAACACACAATTTTTGAAGTTTTAGAAAGGTAATGTGGCATGATACACTAAATATTACATGTCACTCCATGGGGTCTGGGAAGTAACTCATAATCAATAATAATAATGTTTCTACAATGAAATATATGTATATTCACTCTTAAGAATTAAGTAATGACTACAAAGAATCACAGGTCAAATCAGATCAGGTTTTGCTGCTAAATTATTAGGGAAAATATTTAGTTTTATAGAACTTTTTGAAATTCAGAATTTTAGATAAGAAATTATGATTTAGATAAGAAATTCAGTCTACTACTGACTTTAATGTATCTTCCCATAATTAAAATGACCAGATTTTCTTTATATATAGGTTATTTTTTTAAATTTATTTTTAGTTGTCAATGGACCTTTGTTTTATTTATTTGTATGTGGTGCTGAGAATTGAACCCAGTGCCTCACACATGCTAGGCAAGCACTCCTGCCACTGAGCCACAACCCCAGCCCTATACATAGGTTTTATTTTAAATTTTATGTGTACATCTCACTTTGATTAACAAAGAAAAACACAACAGAGTCTTATTACTTCAAAACCCTTTGTGCTGCTGGGCACGATAATGCATGCTTGTAATTCCAGTGACTTGGGAGGCTAAGGTAGGAAGATCGCAAGTTCAAAGCCAGTCTCAGCAATTTAGCAAGGCCATAAGCAACTTAGCAAGAACCTATGTCTAAATTAAAAAAAAAAAAAAAAAACTAAAAGGGCTGGGGATGTGGCTCAATGGTTGAGAGCCCCTGGGTTCAATTCTCAGTACAAAAACAAACAAACAGGGCTGGGGATGTAGCTCAAGTGGTAGCACGCTCACCTGACATGTCCTGACATGTACGGGGTGCTGGGTTCAATCCTCAGCACCACATAAAAATAAATAAAGATGTTGTGTCCACCAAAAATTAAAAAATAAATATTAAAAAAATATTTAAAAAATAAACAAAAAACCTTTGTACTGACTTGTCTTGGTTTCAGCAGACTTGGTTTTAGGTTCAGAATATTCCCAAGGTCACTTCCGTAGAACCTAGTCATAAAACTAACATCCATTACTGAGATCCTAAAATCTAATGAGAATGCCAAAGGGATAAAGGTACGGTGAAAAGATTTGGCCTGTGTTCTACAGGTGTTCTCATAAAAAATGTCCTATAGGATAGTTACTATACTCACACTTGAATAGTATAGGTTAACTTACTGCACACTCCTAAATATTAGATGCATAAAATTAAATAACACATAGGAGCTGTCCTCATGAAGTATAAAATTTAGAATGGAAGGCAGATATATGGGCTGATAATTATATTGCATTGAGATAAGTCCAACTAGAGGTAAGTAGAGAATGGTAGGAGACAAACAGAAAGATACCTAACCCAGTGTGGGAAGGTCTGGGATGAGCTTCCTAGAAAAGGTGACATATAAGCTAGGGCCTGAACTCTGAGTGGAGTAAACCAAATAAGGAAGAGTAGAGGTAGGGAGATGCATAAGGGCATTTCAAAGAGTGGGTTCATTGTATGAAACACTCAACATGGTAAGGAAGCATGTTGTCTGTGAACCTCAGGTAGAGGGCTGTCACTGTGAAAACTAAGTGAGCCCACTGGGAATATCTAGTGATACAGATCTACAAATCTGTAGGACTTATTTTCCTCTCTAGGAGTTCCCAGGAACCCAGATCTAATAGCAGAGAAATGGTATAGATTTGGTTTCAGTGAAATGGTGGTGGGAGGCGCTAGAAAGAATGGTTTGAAGTAACAGTTGGCTGGATACAAGAAAGCAGATGATGTTAGATGTCAGATAAGGGAAAAACAGTTAAAGAGACTAGAGTTCCTAGTGAATTAAAGAACAGGTGCAGCAAGAGTAAAGCAACAAGACAAAAGTACCTATTGTCAAAGAGTAAGATTTTGAAGTTTAAGATTTCAGAGGTTCAATTTTTGGTGAATGGCAATGTTCAATATATGGACATGAAAATGGGGAGCCAATGATGAGCTCAGAATACATTCAACAAAATTGAATACATTAGGGAACTCTGAGACTAGAGCCTCAGACAGCTTATAACATGGACAGCGAGGATACAGAAATATATGATCAGACAGAAAAGAACACAATGCCTAGAAAGTGTCTGGATCAATTAGGAGCCCATAAACATTTATGGAATAAATGGATGAATGAAGAGTTTAACTAGAGAAAGTCTAATGCAGTTCCAAATAGGCTGCCTATCAGATTCATTTAGGAGCCTTAAAATGCACAAATTTCAGGAGAACACCTCAGACTGACTAAATCAGAATGTCTAGGGTACAGCCTAGGAGTCTGTTTTGTTAAATATTCCCAAGGTCACTTCCATAGAAGCTATTTACCAGATTTTGAGAAACACCAGTCTACTGGGTTGATTTTTATTTTTGTTTATTTACTTTTTGCAAAGGGAGTCTCACCAAGTTGCCCAGACTTCCATCAATTCCTGGGCTCAAGCAATCCTCTTGCCTCAGCCTTCCAAGTAGCTGGGATCACTGACACACACCACTGTGCCTGGCTAGTGGGTTGATAATTTTACATGATTCTTAAATTTTAATTCATCAATATAAATATAAATCCTTTAAGATGATTAAAAGCATACTGTCAATTTTATGAATAGGAAACAATTTAATTTGCTATTTGCAGATTCACAAAGATAAGCAGAAAATCCACAGAAACAACTAATTATATTATTACAATCAATATTTATTGATTTGCCTACTACATGGTCTAGAAGCCAGGGGTTGTCAATGTTTAATGTAAACAAGAAGCACTTGTTAAAAAAACAGACTGCTGGGTCCCACCCCCAAATTTCTGATTCAGTAGATATGAAATGGGTTCTAAGAACATAATTTAAAAAAAAATTCCCAGGGGATGCTGATGATGCTGATTCAGAGACTCCAATTTGAGAATCACAACTCTAGACTCAGAGTATGAGGCCTG